AAGTCAGGCCACTAGGAAATTCCAGAAGTTGGTTCTCCACCTGTGCTGGGCTTCAGAGACCACTGTCCAGGCACTGCTCCAAATGTGCCATGTAAAGCTCTGTCTGAAACGCTGTGGAGGATGACGAATGAAATGGCCCCACGGTAAAATACTTCCAGGTCTGGATTTATCCTTGTGCAACTCCAAACAGGAAGAGTAAGGCTAAGGCAAGGGGCGAATGTCTGTATTTCTCTTAGAAGTGCTTGGAGGAGGTCATGGCTCACATAACACTTGTGCTTTTCCAATTGCAGCATTTATGATAGCAAGAAATGAGTATCTCTTCCTGTTTGGGAATAGGCTAGACAGTGACTAGGGAAAGGGGAGAAAGGCTAAATGGGTCATTAGTTTAAAATACACTCTTGAGTATTTTTCTGGAGAAGGGCCAACAAGAGAATCTCAAAACCCATCTTGGTTCTGGCTTGATTGTACACTGTGAACTCAGCTAGTGTTTACGAGGCTCCTGACTAGTGCCAGGATCTGTACTGACCTAAAGATTCAGATGCCAGCCCCTGCATTTACTGCTTGACCTTGACTTACAATGGCCATGGAAAGCCAGTGCTGACCACTCCTGTTAAGAGCAGTGAGGAGAGATATGAGGATCGTACACAAATGCCCAATCTGAGACCTGGCCTCCATGAGCCCTCAGCTAGATACTCTGCTCGTGCCCACCATCCTTCTCTCTTCCCTGCTTCGAGTGATTCCAAAAATGCCTAAGCGATCATGGTGAGTTTGAGACAGGGTTCACTAACTAACCAACATACCCCCAACTAAGCCACCTCCTCCCCCACAGTAACAAGGGAGTAAAAAATCTAATGTGAGTGAGAATTTCTTGACCTACAGAAACTAAGAGAGGGGGAGGCAGGCTTCCACGAGCATATGCCCATGGTCTAGAGACCTGCCTCTTCAGTCTCTGACTCCTGACTGTGCCTGCAACTTTCCACAAACATTTCTAGAGCCATGACTAAGCTCCAAGCATAGTCTGATGAAAACCTTGAGAGGCTCCAACACGAAGCATAGGCCTACCCACCTCTGTGTAAATTAAATCTTTTTGACTTAAACAAAACTCAAAACTGCATGCATTCTAAAATAAACAGATCTCTCTTCCAATTTCTTTGAATTGCAAAACTTGGGCAAAAGTCTGCATTTTGACCTTTACTCAGCCTTTGCTTTCTTTTCTGCCCTTCTTGCTGGTGCCTGAGAATTGGAGTATTTTGCTAACTGTATTATTCAACAGAAGTGTGAGGCACAGTCTGAGCATAAGAAAATATAACAGTGAGACAAACCAGGTCCTTGCTACTTGGTGTCTAGCTCAATTTCTACAGCTCGGTTTCTACTTGAGAGAAAAAAGCCTCAAGTACAAAAATATCACCCCCAAGAGTGGTATGCTCAGAGGGAAATAAAATGAGACCCAGATTCTCTGCGAATGTTTTGAGATGGTATTAAAAGGGGGAAAACTCAGGACCTCCCTAGTGGCACAATAGGTTAAAGCACACTGTAAAGCTATTGCAACTGCTTTGGCGCAAGTTCGATCCCAGCCAGGGATCTGCCTGTTCTGCTCCCCACTCTCTCCTCTCACAGCCCCTGCACCTCTGGCCTATACCCCAGTTCTGTATGCATGGATAAATGTATTTTTTTTAAGTCGGGGGGGGGACTCATATTCTTCTAGAGGAGTGTTATGAGACCTCCATCACTTTCAGATTTTAAAGTTAATGTTGCAGTGATCAATATCCCTCAGGAATTGCTATTTCCTTGGTGGCCTCAGAATAATCCAGAAGCCATGGAGAGGCTGGAGGGCAATATGACAACATATTGACCTGGTACTGGCAGCAACTGTTTTGAGAGTAGGCAGTATGCCAGTTCAGATGTATAAATCTTACCCTAAATATTTCTTTCTTTTAAAAAAAAAAAAATTTGCTTATGCATACAAGAGCTGAGGTATAGGCCAGAGATGCAGGGGAGGGTGACAGGATTCACCAGAGACAAAGTGGGGAACAGAACAGACAGATTAAGTACACTGCTGAGGGAAGCAGTGGGCGAGACAGGAGAGGTCTGCTGCACCGTGTGGGTCACCTCCCTGGCCGGGGATCAAACTCGTGCCCCAGCGGCTAATCATAGCTTGACAGCATTGAGACTTAACTCCTGAGCCACCAGAGAGACCCATGTTTTATCCTTTCAAAACTCTGTATTCATGCCTGTTTCCTATTGCAATAGTCTTTCTCCCATGATAGAAAACCAAAGAGAAGCAACAATGGGATGATGCCTTTAGATGTTGTTTTTGAAGACAGAATCCCAGCTGATGTCTTGGAATATTGTGGCTGTGAACACCTGCCAGCCAACTAGCACTATCAGTCTCCAGATGTTCAGTGGCATTCTGGGCCACTAAAATCTATCCATTTAGGAAAATAAAAGGCATGCCCAAATGGCAGAACCCCCTGCAAAGCCACGGCAACATGATCACACAAGTGCAATATGACAACGGAACTCTGAGCCAAAGGATTGCTCCAAACTCTCGGCTGTGTGTCTGCTGAGCCAAAATTAAGCAGGAATTGCCAAAGGAATTCTCAGCAGGAACTACATGAAGCAAAAGGCCAACAAGGATAGTCGAGAGGCTGCAGCCAAAATCCCCCCAATTCTCTTTGAGAAGCCCACCTCCAGGTTTCTGCCAAGGGATCTGTGTTTTTAGCATGTCTGTCAATAGCAAGGCAGGAAGCAACTTACAAAATAAGCTCATTTTGGGCAGCTTCTCCATGCCCAAAGCTCATGAGAATTACAGATACCAGACAAGTAGTCATGTTGACAGGGCTTCGGTTTTCAGCTCTGTGCTAAACTACCTAATGTATCCACTTAGAAATCTTGGCAGAGTGTTGGCTGCTCGCACGCTCTGTTGGGCTTCCCTATTCTTATATACACTCGGAATGATGCTTGCCTTTTGTCACCTAATTCTTACAGGACGTGTAAGGCTCTGTTCAGAAGCCATTTCCCTGAATGCTTCCTGGCCCCTACTTCTGGACCAGGCCCCTATTTTCTGAAGTCTGCACTTCCTCCTCTGTGTGAGGAATCATGACCCTTATCCTTCTAGAAGCTGTGGGGTGTTATGATTTAGGGCTCAGGGGCCTGGTGTCAATTGGTGTGACCCCTCCACTTTCCAGGTATAGGAAAATGGGTAAGTTACTCAACAGCCCAGTTTCCCCTGAGGACATAAATAGCATCTGCCTGAGAGGGTCACTGATGGAGGTAGTACATGGGTTGGGTTTAGTGTCACTACTTATTCCAAAAGCAGCAGCTACAATACCGCATTCTCCACATCCCTTGAGTTATTCACTGTCATTGCCTCATATGGCTGGCACATAGAGAAACTGAAGAGGAATAGTTTGGAATGACAAGTTGGTACTTTGAATGCCAAGGAAAATATTTTGCCCTGTGTCTTGAAGGCCATGAAGAGTCATTGAGAGTTTTGAGAATTGTGCCTCAACTATGCAGTGCTTGAAAAAAGGCCATTAAGAGGTGGCTAGGTAGGAGAGTAAAGGAAAAGCCAAGTGAAAGGAGACCATTAGCAGGCAGGAGCCTAGCATGCAGACACAGTGGGAAAAGCTACAAGATGGATATGACAGGTTGGGTTTGTGAAACAGGGAAGAAAATTTCAGGGCTGGAAACTGGGAGGAAGCAGTAGGTGACATTAACAGAATCAGGAAGCAAGGGAAAAGAAAGTTGGAGAGACAATGAAGTCAATCACTGAAAAGCAAGCTCTGGCAGCAATCAGGCAGCATGGCCTGAGAGTAAACAGCGCCTGCAATCTGGGCCCCAACAAGGTCACTGTGGCACAGAACTGCCCACAGACCCATACAAGCCCACATAACACACCTCCATACAGAGAGCGAGGGTTGCATAACAAATTCTCTCCTGGAATGGAGCGGCCTTCTCCCATATTCACACAGAGACACAAGTCATTACTCACAACCACTCATGTACAGTCACACACACTCAGACACCAGGATTCAAGATAGCAACCTGAACAAGTGTCACAGTGACATGAGAATACTGGTCATGGGGAGTGTGTAATGGTAAGAATCAAAGAATCAAGTAAGAAAATTCTGAGTGGAGTCCAAATCTTATCCAAAAAGGTGTTCTGGAAATGTCAAGTGTGAGATGGTGATTTCATCCCTCAGTTTGGATGAGGGATGTTTGTGTTGCCCTTGAGCTTTCTATTCAGACAGATGAGCAGTGGTTCCTTCCTTCTCCATGCAGTCTTTGCACGGATCCATGCACGGCATGACTGGCTCCTCGCCTCGAGCCTGGAGCTTCCCAGTGCTGGGTGTGTTATTCCTCCCCTATCAAAAACAGAACACCAAAACTCAGAAAAAGTGTCTTGATCAAATCATGAATGACAGACTAGGAGTAAAACTCAAGTCCGCCTGCATCCAAAAGCAGCTACTCTCCTACTTCGAGGTGGCCCCTCAACTTGCTCACAAAGGAGCCCAGAAGTGTGAAAAAGTCCTCATGGGCGGTCCAGCTACAAGAACCTTTTGTTGAGCCTGATAAGAAAAAAATGTAGCCATTATTGCTTTTCCTGTATCATTTCTTAGAATAGTTCCAATGTTTAAACTGTGGTGGAAAAAGAAAAATAAAACAAAATGCCAGTATTTGTTCAAATAATAGAAGCAATGACAAGCTGTCAAAGTGCCATAAAGTAGAGCAGGAAAAGCCTCAGGAAAGAAGTTTGAACTTTGAAGTTGAGATTCAAAGACAAGCAGAGAGAGATAAAATCTACTGGGGGTGTTGGAGGAAGAAAGAGGAGATCGGGGTGCAAGATTCCCATCAACCCAAGTTTCCTCATTCCTATTTCCTTCATCTCAGCGTACCCAGGCTAGGCAGCAACACCCTCTTAGTCATATCAGTGCTATGTGGGTGCTGGGGTCCAAAGGGCAACAGGTGGTCTGAACAGTGTCTTTCTTTCCCAATAGATTCCAAGAGAACAAGAACTTGGACCTTCGCCACAAAAAGCTTGTAAGTGTATTTACATTGATGGCTTCCTTTTCTCGTGGACTTAGCTAGAAGTCCTGGTATGCAGGAAATGCAAACCCAGAGCAATGAATCTTCTTCCCAGCCAGTGAGAAAGCAAAATGGAGCTGCAGCCAAGCACCCAGTTTACCGAGTTGACATTCTACAGCAATTTACTCACTTGTAAAAGTGGTTATAATAGTGTCTGCCTCCAACAGTCAGTGTTGAATTAAATTAGTTAGTGCTATAGAAGTATTAGAATAAAGGTTAGCACATCACAAGTACGCACGTATTGCTGTTGTCAGAACACACTTGACTAACAGATCATCTCTAAGGTCCAAAAGGGTATTCTGGTATCTTCTGGAGAGCTGGTAAGAAATCAGAGGCCAAAAGCAGAAAAGAGATCTTTACAGAGTGACTTCCATTCTGTCCTCAGTTCTACCATGCAGATACCTCAGTGACTATGAGGAAGGGCAAAGGCAAATTAGCTCCCACAGAAGCAGCAGCAGGGAAGGACTAGGCTAGGTGGGCTTTACCAAGCACTGCCTATGTGCAACAAGACATTCTGAGCAATCTCTCCATGCTAGGAATTGGTATTTCCTCCACAGGGATAGGGAAACAGAGTCTCAGAGGCTAGATAATTTGCCCAAAGTTTTGAAGCAAAATTCACCTGTGGTTAAGATTCTTTCTCCTTGGGCTCATCTGTCCCTGTAAAATAATCAGTCAAAACCACCACACAGAGTAGAACTGTCTGAAGCTGTTTCTCTCAAGTTCCAAGCACCAAGCAACTCGGCTTTCACTACGGTCATCCTCTGACTCAAAGTGTTTTTCTCCTTCCCTTACAGATGTACCTCCTACAGTTAGAGAAAAGCCAAGGGCACACCTGACAGGTAATTTCCCCCAGCATGTTTTCAAAGAAACTATGGGTCACAGGCCTCTGATTTCTTTCAAAGTGTTTGCCAAAACTCATTCAAGTAGCTTCAAACTAGAAAGTACACTCCTTGGTAACAGGCTTCTCCTTGAGGCCTAGGGTTTTCAGATGTCTTCCTCCCTAGACTGCTCCAAAAGCTATTGCCTCTTGGGCATTTTCTTTCAGATCTATCCACTCCCTTCTTTTCTCTTTTGTTTCCTTCATTCACATACTTAGTCATTCCGAAATGGCTTTCTGCCAGACAGAGATAAATACTATGTGTTTTCACTCATATGTGATATACAGACAAAACGAACACTGTCGACTAAATAAAACAAAAATAAACTTTTGGACTATGAAACTAACTAGTGTTTACCAGCAAGGATGGGAGAAGAGGAATGGACAGATCAGGACTAAGGGGACAATTATAAGTTAGACAAAGGATACAACTGGAATTTAAGTGGTCATCTTTGATGTAGTAGTATATACAAAAGTTGATTTTCCATGATACATACCTACAACTTACATGCTAAAATGAGAATTTATTTCAGAGAAAAACATTGACTTTCCTCAGACTCAAATAATCATGACTCTGATAAAAAAATAAAATAAAATATCCCCTTAGTTTTCAATTTACTGAGACTCTCTGTGGCCTATGCAAGATGAAGTATTGGACATTCACATTCAGGTAGGAATTTCCAAACAATCTTCACTGATGTGAAGAGATTGATAGGAGATTCTTATGTCACTAGCTGGTCAGTTTTCCAAGTCTAGCACCAAAATCTCCACATCCCACATTTAGAATACCTAAGACTCCAGAGAAAAGAGTAAAACAGTAGGTGTGAAAACACCAGTGAAGCACTAGAATAGAAAGCAAGCATACTCTCCTGAACAATAAGAAAATTTCCATCACTCGGGGATAATTTTGTCACCAGAAACATCTGTCTTGACAATAGACAAGGAGGGACTCTTTGTGGTTAGTCCTGAATGAAGACTGAGACCAGAGAGATAAAGTCTCCATCACTTAGCACTTGTCTGTAAGAATGGGAAGGACTAAATAATCTAAGCAACAAAATCCTAGAAATTGAGTGTGGAGCTATCACCCATCATCCCATGAAATAAGATGGGTAGAAACGTAATACAAGTTCTACTGAGTTCCAGCCAGCAGGAGGCATTTTACATTCTATGAGCTCATGTAATTTGCATATTAGCCCAAAGAGACAAGGAAATGACGGTTCTAAAAACTATATTCACTTGTCCCAAGACACGTAACAAGGAAGAGCTGAGACTCAAGTTTGGCTCTCAGCACTGTACTGGCTCCATGACATCAACTTCCTACCCAAACTCCTACTTGCTGCAGTGTTGACACAACTAATTACAGAGCAATTTAACAGATCTTCCTTTGCCTCCAGTCTAAATGGTTTTTGCTTTTGCATCATCTGAGAGGAATTCTTTTTTTAATCTACTACATCAATCACAAACAAGAAGCAGAGATATAAGGGACAACTAATAAAAATTTTCACAGACTTGGCAAGTACCGACAGAATTCTCTAGAAACTATTTAGTACAGGGTCGGAAGAATTACACACATTCTAAACATATTAAAAAAACAAAACAAAACAAAAAAACATAGTCCAGTCAGTAATGGGAAAGATGCTTTAGAAAATTCCAGAAAAACAGGTTTCTGGTTGACCACCAGGGTGAAATTGCTAAATACACCTTTAAACATAAGCTATCCCAAAGCATGGCTGTCAGTACATATTAGTACTTGTTTGAATTTCAGAAGCAGTCATAGAAAATGAAAAATGTTTTTGTTTTTCTGGAAAAGTATTACTTCTACCACAGATTATCTTATTTGAAATTGTGGTTTGAATCAATGTTTTGATTTTATCCACTTATTTCTGCTACAGACATAATTCATAACAATGTCCACTCATATATTCTTCGTAACATACACTTGTAAACAACAAAAACAAAGGCTTATTTTTGTAATCTGTCAAAATTAAAGATGCTAACCTAATACCTATGTATTAAGTACTGACTGTATATGGTCATTGTGATTAAAAAATAAAGGTCCGTGTCTCTTCCCTTCACTTGGCCCTCAGAGCAGACTATGAGGAAGCTTTATCTCCAGATCACAGGAAACTGAGACTCGACAGGAGAAGGAACTTATGTGGTCAATTAATGACTTACCATGTTACAGAGTCAGGAATGCAGGGATGCAAATGAACCTAACTAGCCCAGAGCTTTGGAGCACAGGGTTGGAAAGAGTAACCGCAACATCTAACTCTCTCTGAAATGTCCTCTTTGTAGAAGAGTTGGTTTTTGCTTTGCTCTGAAACAACAAGGCTAACAAAAACAAATGGAACAGAGCTATGCCTTACAACTAGGGACCTTACACATCTTCTGTGATGATTTTTATGGGCATTATCATCTCCTTTTTCTTTTTGTTATCCTATATGAAAAGCTACATCAGGGCTTCCCTGGTTGACCTCAATTTACATCTCAGCACTATCACCATTAAGGCCTGAGTTCATTTCCCAGCCAGGGAACTGACCCACATGGTGCAGTAGACTTCTCCCATCTGGCCCACTGCTCCCCTGAGCAGTGTATTTCAGTGACTTTGCTGTTCTGCTCCTCACTTTGTCTCTGGTGAATCCTCTCACCACACCTCCCTCCCCGCCCCCGCCCCCCCACACACACACCCCCTTCATCTATATCCCAGTTCTTAAAAACTTAAAAAATAGGCCCTCCCTGGTGGTGCAGCGGGTTAAAGCACAGCACTGAGAAGCTAAAGACGCTTCTGTATGAGTTCGATTCCCGCCTGCCCGGGAGGAGACCACATGGTGTGGCAGACCTCTCCTGACCCGTCCACTACTCCCCTCAGCAGTGTACTTCGTCGATCTGCCTGTTCTGTTCCCCACTCTGTCTCTGGTGAAGCCTTTCACTGCCCCTGAGCCTCTGGCCTCTACCCCAGTTCTGTATGCACAAATAAATAAATCTTTAAAAAAAAAACTTAAAAAATAAACAATCATGGCTCATACAGGAGAAACTTTGTGCAGTGGAGCAATGGGGGACGGGAGGAACTATTGCAGCACTGAGAAAGGCCTGACTGTAACGTCCACAAGTGTCTCAAGAGTTAGGCTAAAAGGGTTTTCACTGATTTTGTTGTTTTTTTTTTCTATACTTACTTTTTAATCATTATTGTGGTGACAGTGGCTTCCAGGACTACATATGATTAAGGGGAGAAGGTTCTCACCTTCTCAGGTGGGAATCACCATGCCACCCCCCAGCAGAGCATGCCCACCGGAAAGGGTTTTTTCTTTTACAGAAGGAGTAAGCAAAGCCTGTGGTGGAGAGAAAGGCTGGGAAGATGGGATCAGAAAATGCTGTACCCTGATTCTAGCCTATTCTCAGGAAAGACTATGATCATAGGCAGGGGGCTGGCTAAAGCTCAAGCATCTGGAAGGAAAGAAGCTTGACTAGAGGCTGGTTTTATTCTGAAGGATCAGTGGGGATAAAACAGTTAAGCAAATCAGTTATGAAGCAAAGAACGAGAAGATGGAGGGGAGCTTCTCTGTTATAAACAAGGAGGACATCCACCAGTCTTATCTAAGTCATTTGGGAAAGAGTGGCTCTTGCCAGGAAACCATTTTCAGAAATATACAAGAGGAGACTTCTTAACCTTTACTGTTTTCTGGATCACAGGATGCAGATAAAAGTCAAAATTGTCAAATAAAAATTGTCAGTCTCAGAGAGGCAAAGTAATTCTCCCCAGGTCACCTGCTTGAGATTCTACTCTCCGAGCATAGGTACATATCCACTCACACACCCTCCGTCCAATTATCCTCCACAAGGCATCTGTTAGTCACTGGTTTTGTTCAGTCGCAGTACTCTTCAAAAATGTATTAGCAAAGTTCACAGGTTCCAACACAAGCCAATTAAATCTCTCTCTTGTCTTTGCAGTTTTGAAACCAACTCCCACCCAATCCATGAAAAATCAGTTTCAAGTTCTTCACTGGGAACATGAACTTGGCTTGGCCTTCACCAAGAACAGAATGAACTACACCAATCGATTCCTGGTGATCCCAGAGCCAGGAGACTACTTTGTTTACTCACAGGTCACATTCCGAGGAACCACATCCAACTGTAAGATCGGCCAAAAGAATCAACTGAACAAGCCAGACTCCATCATCGTCATCATCACCAAGTTAACAGACAGCTACACGGAGCCCACCCAGCTTTTGATGGGGACCAAGTCAATGTGTGAAATAGGCAGCAGCTGGTTCCAACCCATCTACCTGGGAGCCATGTTTTCCTTGCAAGAAGGGGACAAGCTGACAGTGAATGTCAGTGACATCTCTCTCGTGGATTACACAAAAGAAGATAAAACCTTCTTTGGAGCCTTCTTGCTATAGGGGCAAAAGAGGACTTTTTTGTGTGAAGCTCCACTGTGTCCAAGTTCTAATTTTCTACATTCATGTGCAATTATTTGTTCCTTATGAAATTTAGGGCCCCAAAGTTCACATTTTATATGGCTTATTAATAAGCCTACAGAAGAGAGCATTCTTTATTGCCTTACCTTTAAAAAAAAAAAGGAAGAATGGTATCTTTTATAAACATTCTCAAAAAAGAAACTGATTTTCTTGCCATGCTTTGGCAAATAAGAAAAACTACATTTATTTTTTATATACACCACAAGTTCCATATGTGCATCAAATATACAAAAGAAAAATTACATTTACTGGCACAGTATTCATGAGCACCTATCATGTCCCGGGTACTACCTTAACCCAGAAGATACAATGAGGAACAAAATGGACTTTACCCAAAGTTTCTATGAAAACCACTGATATCTCCCAGACAATTATCACTGAATGCAGCCCAAGGTATGACTGCAAGTCCTAAAACATATTATCATCTAATGTTGCTGAAGATTTCTAGAGCTCTCCAGATTATGTGATATACCCAGCTGATTTGCTCACTAGAGAAACTTGAAGACAGAATTCTAATTAACCAGACCAACTAAATAACAAACTTGTTTGATGCCAGGAGATGAGGGACTTACTCCTAGGGGTGGGGGAGGGGAGTAAGTCAATGACTAAGTAGGAGCAGTTAATAGATATGCTTAGAGACTTGACTCACAACTTTATGCGCAGAGTGTTAAGTGGATATTTTTCTTTTAAAATAGTCAAAGATGGATACTCTTATTAGCCTAGCTAGCCAAGATGCCTTCCCTAAAGGTGAGGATGACATTGAGAAGGTCCCTTCTAAGTATCAGTGGGTTTATATCCTCTAACAGGATGGTTCTCCTGCACTAGTATGTCAAGGGAGTGAGGGAGGGAAGGGAGGATGGGGGGAGCTTTGCTTTCTAAGTGTCTATTGATTTGTTTGTAAAGCTGAAAGCCATTTACTTACTTGTTTCTCAGGAGAGAATCAGTTCATGGGCTGATTTGTTGACTTTAAGTATTCTATGAGGTCTAAGAGGGTCTTTGTGTGATGTGGGAAGTGACAGCCAGCATGCTGACCTCTGCCATAAATGTTCACTACTGAAGGAATTCTCACAAATGGGTTGAAATAAACTTGAAGCTAAAATCACTTTTATACTTGGGAATATGACTTGGTGTAGAAGGAATTGATCAATATTTTTTGAGTTAGGATGAATATAAAATTTTCAGTTTTCTAGCAGGAAGGGTGGCGCAGGGCTCAGGAGTGTGCAGAGAAGGGTGTGTCACCTCCACCTGATTCAGAAGAGTCTTCTAAAAGGAAGTGAAGGATGAGCCCCAGTCAGCCAAGAAGGTAGGTGGCAACAGATGGCCTTGGGGATAAGACATCTCAGGGGAGGAATTACTCTTTTCAGTAAGCAGAAAGGAAAGGGTTCTCAGTAACTACAAAGCCAGCTTGATACAAGAATGTTCCCTCACCTGACTCTTAGAACCGTATCTATTGGTAGATCAGGAATGCTCTACTGTGGTTCCATCATCTGAACTAACAACACATTAAGAAGACAGTACACTCTGTATCTGCATGGGAACACCAAGCAACTTCAGGTGCAGGAGAAGAGTTGTACAGAAGCAGCCAGAGTGACCTATTCATCCACTTAAAAGAACCCTACATCAGAGCCTTCAAACCTGTTACTGTCCCAAAGGGAATTTGGTGAACTAAGACATTTATCCAAGAACTAGGAATGTCCTAATATCCTAAAAAGACCAGAAACTTTGGGAGAATCCCGACTGCATGTTTAGTTTGTTCCCGTCATAAGCTTGTTTACTGAAGAAAATATCGAAGCTCAAGCTGGCACTAGTGAACTTGCTAAATTGCCTATGGAATAACTTTTACTCTTCAGAAAGGCCCAGCCAATCATTCTAAGTAGGACTCCAATGAGAACTTCTGTTTCCTAGACATTATGTCCATGGCAAACACTAGTGTATTTGACTTGAAAATAAGATGGAAGAATACTTTTAAGAACATATGAGGGTCCTTTAGAAGGAGTAAATGGGATGTAGTCAAGAATTCAAAAAGGGGGGAAAGGGCATGTGTTGAAAAATAATTTGGGGAGGGGGGGTGCTTTACCAGTTTGTTCTCTCTCGAAAGGCTGAATTTAAACCAATTTCACATTTTTGAGTACCTACTTGCCCTGGAGACACAAAGATATTTTAGTCAAATATGTTCATTCCTAATGCTCAGCATCTCCCTTATCTGCAGATCCTTTCATTTATTTTGGTTATATTAGCTAATTAACTAAATTTTGGCACAAGTGTATTTTCTCACTAGGAAAATGGGTGCCACTGGGTAAGGATGGTCATTAACAAAATGATTTGTGTTTACTCTGAGTGGCTTTTTAAATAGCTACACAAGGGCAGTTTTCCATAAATAAAAGGGAAAAAAATAAAGACATCACTTTCTATGGCATAATCCATTACTTAAATCACATTTGGAGAGAGGTTATTATCTACAGGGCTCAAGTTTGGTCATCAACCTTGAAAATTTGGGGACTTTATGGAGTACCCATAAAAGTCTGCATGCCTCAGCAAATACAAGAACCATGATCAAAATTCATGGGATCTCTAGCATATTGACCTAGCGTGGGTTGACTCTGTTGGGTGGAACAGCTTGCTTAAACTATCATAACTGCTTGTTTGAATAAGGTACGGCAGGAAGGGAAAAGGTTCATTTTCATGCCCAGAAGGTATCTGGTTCAGTTCTGTAACAGGGAATGCCAGGGCCTTTGTTTCATTTCATTCTAACCTACGTCACCCCAGAGGAAATTCCATCTCTGTGCTTGTCAATAATCTCTACGGATTATCAAAATTTAAACAGTTACGCTGTGCATGAAACATGTCCACTACCAACATTCTCTTGCAAGGTATTTTCCCAAGTCCTTTCCCAATCATATCTCCACGATTGTGACATTGGGGATTAGTTCTTTAGGACAGGACTGTTTATAGTCTTCATCTTGCAAAATGCACGCTAAAGTCTCTTGTGTCCAGATTGCTTGCCCCACTAGGATCCAGACTCCTGGAAGTGTTTTGCCATTATTTTAAGTGTGTATCGCTATTCTGCTTATTAGCAACTATTGCATCATGTTGGCAGCTGGACTATTAACTCCTGAATTCTTTTACTCCTGTGGTGAGAAGAGTGTGCTGAGTCAGAGCAGTCACATCTGTGCCCTGCTCCCATCTGATAACTATATTTAAAGCTTCCCAAGAACTGAGAAACATTTGCTCCACTTGTCTACATTCCCATTTTAAGAATACCATACTCGTCCAAACACAAGTTACATGTTCAGGGCCACACAAGGAATTAATGGCAGGTCTATAAAGCTAAGATACTTTCTTCCTAAATTCATCCAATTGCCTTCTGCCCTTAACAAATGGTATCTCTTTCAATAACTGGTAGAGAAATTGGCAGAAGACTGAGGAGTATCATCAGCTACCTATACATGTAATGCAGAAAAGGAGACAACTTCCACATCTCCCTAGAAGAAAGAGCTTGAGCTAATGAATTGTGTTTACAAAATCACTTCTGAATTTCTCACCCAAAATAAGAGTATTTCCAGATAGTGATTACACAGTCCTTTGTAAATACTCAAGCAAAGAGTTTATCTCAAGGGTTTTATAGAAGTCATTCCTCCATTGAAATGGGAGGAGGGATTGAACTAGAAAATGTCTGCAGTCTTTTCCAACTCTATGACTATATGTTACCATTTTTTATTGACTTTCACACACTGTTTCCCGCAAGCCTTGTCCAGAGCACAGTGTTGTCCAGTTTACAAGTGGCCGTCATTTCCCACTTGTTCAGACAGTGTCTGAGATTTGGGCCAAGAGGAACAACTGTAAGATTAGGGGCTCTGCAGAGTTTATCTACTGAAGTTACATCATTTTGAGGAGGAAGAAACCAAGACTCCAAAAGATGACATAAATGGCTCAAAGCCAGACAAGTCAGTAGCAGTGTGAAGACTAGAATTCTGAGCTCCTGATGCCAAGTCCAGCAACCCTCCCATCCCGTCCATGGATGCTATTGCTTAGGCATCCCAGGGTAACCACCTACATACTGAGAGCCACGCCACATAGTGAAGCCAGCCCCAGGTGCAACCTTAGGAGGGGACTCGCGACACTGAACTAAAAAAACAGCAGCTAGTCTGAGTGAAATGATTTAATTCATAAATTAACTAAAATATGTAACTTTCCCCCTTTTGTTTCAGGGATGTGCAGAAGGAACAAATGTGTTTATGGTGTTGTAGTGATGGGAGTGCCCCCATGCTTTCATTGATTTTATGTTTTATGTTAAAACGTCCTAACCCCAAATTAACAGTGTGCTGCTATGTGCTGTTGGATACATACTTAGCGGGGATGCGCCCCAAGCCCAGAGAACTCCCACCTCTGGAAAGGAAATTTTATGGGTTAATGTACTCAATAGATGTAATTTAATAAACTGGCTGTGGAAAGTACAGAAGTTGAACAACTGGATCAATTCTTTAGTTAAATCAATTCTTTTTTTTTTTTTTTTCTCAATTAAGGTCTTAAGGTAATCACCCAGGGTTTGAAAACTGCATCTTCTTCCACCTGGTTTTGAATAAAAATGACAAGTGACTTTCATGGGCTGTAACAAATTTCATAACAAATTGATTGAACCACCACAGATGGTGTTCCCCTGGTCGGAGCAGGGAAAAGGAGCAAAGTTAATTACTAAATTCTTTTTATGAATTGGGAGGCTCTGTGGTTTTAAGTAGCTAAAACTCATATGCAACAACCCTGACAAAAAGAAAAGGCAAAGTTACAGAGAGCCACCTCAGTACGCCAGGGGCCAGAGCGGGGCACGGGCCTTCTGACTCGGCACTGCTGCCTCTCACAAAACAGCAACCAGTAGGGCTCAAAAGGGCCAACACCTCTGTGTTCCCCACTTGCCAGGGTGCCTCAGCCCATATTACATCCCTACCACATTAAACTGTCATTTCTGTGGGTCAAAAATAGTTACATAATTGCATTTGTCTCTATCTAATAGCTGCAGGCAAAGCAGACTGAATTAAGAGGAGACAGGGCTCTGCTCCACAACATCAGTCTCAAAAATTTCCCTCCCAGTGGGAAACTTGAAATGAGTATGTTGATGTCCTTGAGAGATTCAATCCATGCATTTGCACTTACTCCTACTCCAAAATAAGAACAAAACATTTTTCACAATTGTGAACAGAAACAAATTATTTGCCCTAAGTTTATTAGAAGCCAAATGTCTACTAAAGTTATAATGCAGTTCTTCCATTTAAATTACTGATTACTGAATCTAGCACACCAAAGACACTTTTTCCTAACAGTTCTCAAAGGGACTCTCCATCCCTACAAATTTCGGAGCAAGGAGACTGACTAGCCAATTGTTTATGCTGGTTGTCTGGCCAGGCGGCCAATCATCCAGTCAGAGCCCAGCTAAGGCTCAGGCCGGATGGCCTGGATGGCACTGGTTCTGATTTGCGAGACCCGACGGGCTGATGCTTACACCACCTGGTTCTTACATATTTTCCTTATCCTCCCTGTTTACATTACTTCCACTTGCCCACACAAATACCAAAATAATAATTATAAACAACAGTAGCAATGCCCCAGGTGAAGGTAGAAAACACAGCAGACCCAGAGTTAACACATCTGTGCTCCAAGCCCAGATGTGTCAACTGGCAAATTCCGAGGTCTTGGCCAACCACTCCACTTGTGGAGACCTCAGATTCCTTCTCTGACAAACAGGAGAAAGTGAGCTGAAGTGCCTTCCATTTGCAGTCCAAAAACAGATCTCAATAATTCTCTACTTATAAATGCTTGATTTTCAAATGAGCTTCCCCTTTTCAAGTAGGCGGTGGGAGAAAAGACCAAGCAAAATTTCCAGTATAGGTTATGCTGCAAAGCTGTCCAAACACACTTGGGAACTTTTCACCCCTTCAGTGTAAGAAACAGAAAGGTAGCTGGAACTGAGAGAAAAACTGCAGGGTCTGTGAATGCTACTGCAGCCGGACAACACTCTGTTCCCGTTCTGCTCACCGGGACCCCCATCTTTCAGATGCACTTGATGCCCACTTACCAGTCCACATGCTCAGGGAATGGCACCCTCATAAGCTGCTGCTAAGATTTAGCACCAATACTTGGAGCAGACTCTTGGGAGTTTATCTCCTCTCAGGCGCTGAGCAACTCTTACTGTGCCTGCAAAGTGACACAACCACTTCCCACTGAGGGAAGAGCCCAATGAGATGAAGTTGACTTGGCCAAAGATATTAGCTAAGCCAGGGTTTGAACCCAACAAAGCAAGAGAGTCCAACTTTCAGAGCTTATTGCTAGCTGTAAATAACCTTAGCTAACACTTAATGAGGCATTCTGAGTAATAAGCACATCACCTCATTTAGTGTTCAACCAACGTCTAAGTTCCAAGTCAGTAAGGCACATTTCTCCCAGAGATTGGTATACCCAGGATGAACCTCTAACTCTTCAATAATGACTGGGTGTCCCACTCAGGGCAAAAAAAAAACATTGATTAACCCCAGTGGGGAGGCAAGGATGCTTCCTGAATGCCAGGTTCCACTTGATGCCCATGCCCAGCACTAGGAGGAACAGTGGCCGCACCACCATCCTGTTAGACCAACTTTACCCGACTAGAGAGCCGCACACAGCCCTGCCAAGCCAGCTCCCAGTCAAAGGACCTCCTAGGCCCTGTCTCCACTGGCTCCAGCGCTCTCTGAAATGTCATCACACAAGCAGATGGCCCTTTGTTCCTTCGTCTCCATTCTCTATTCTGCTTTTGACAACCACAAAGGACTTTACACTGACCCTGTGCTGAGCCCCGTGATAAGCATGCTACAAACACAGTTTCCTTTCAGCACCAAGAGCTCTGGAGAGTAGGCTCTGCTACCATTACGGCTGTCTTTGTCACACTACACATGACTTGCTCAAAGCCACACAGCCAGTGATTAAATCTGGGTTTAGATGCATTAGTCTAAGTCCAACATTGCATCCACCGTCTTATTCTGCTTCTCAGTTTCACCGCATTATATGGTCTCAGGTAAGTCATGAAGGCCTTTAGATTTCAACGAGGCTCTCTAAGTCCATTTACACTTCTAATGTTCCAGGACATCAGCTGAGCAATAACAGAGCTGCCATCACTCCCACACTGCCAGTGCGTACTATCAGGCCTTGCTTTTTCAGGGGCATCCTAGGCAGAGTCCTCTCTTTTCTAGGCTGTGCACTCATCCCCGGTAACAACACTGCACCATCATCAAGGCCCTTCCCAGTGAATCCTCCCTGAGCTATCCCAAACAAAGGTTCTTAACTGGCTCCATGTTTATCTCATGCTTTTCCAAACAGTTCAGTTTTGACTATACACTGGCAAGCATTGGAAATGGAAATGGTTTAAAAACCCAGTGCTCAGGCCATACTCCAGACTAATTAAACCAGAATCTCTAATACTAGCACACAGTAAGCTAGGTTTCAAAAAATAAAAAATACAATGTACAACTAGCACTGTGAACCAGAATGTTCAAAATACTGAAAAAGCTCCTGCACTTGGTTCTGAGGTCCTTCTGACTCAGCTCCCATCAGTCTCTCTGCTTCAGCTAGTGCCCCACTCCCCTAGTGCCACACACCACTGGTGTGCTTATAAATGTTTAACAACTAGCTCTCCAAAATAAAGCCCTCCTATGTGTCATTTGTCAATGCCCATGGTGTAAATATTCTCTCCATGTCGAATTTTCAAGCCGCCACTGAGTTGCACTGAGGTGGGGAGATCTGGGAAGAGGGCACAGTGACACGCCACTATGCTCTAGTTCCACTAGGCACTAGAAGTTGCCTCAAGGATAGATGTGGAGTTCTGAGTACTTATCACCTTTGTTTTAATTTATTTGAACATTTACATTTATACATGTAAGTTCATATAATTTAATGTCAAATTGTGGCTATGTCTAATGACCAGCTCAAAGATTCCTACAGACTTAAGCTTTAGCTCTTCATTGCAGGTGCATACCTGCGCTGGCAGGTTGTAACAATGCATTTTCACATTTCTTGACCTACTTTTCACTCTGGGAAGAGTGCCTACCTTCTGCCTACCTTGTGTGAATTCCTCTTCACCAAGACCAGGTTTGGGTGACACTTCCTCCCTGGTACATGCTTGAATGGCCATGCAGAGGTTCACACCCAACACTCTCCCCCACCTCAGGCTCATTTTATGTCTTTCCCCCATTAGCTGATTCTTGTTCACTCTTGGGAAGTATCATCAAGTGGACTCTAACCGGTATTTGTGAAGCCAACCATTGAAGATTGTCCCAAATGTAAGTTCCTTCCTAGTATGTGTATTCCAATCAGAGATTAGTAATCATTTAATGATTTATTCCAACTGTAAATTATTATAGGCTCTCTATTCTAGCTATTCCTTGAGGATCCTCTCTAGAGCCAAAACAGGCTGTAAGTGGGGAGCTGGAAGCCAGGCTGCACAAAGAAGAGAGGGAAGGCTCCAACCAAAATCTGCAAGACAGGGTTTTTGTCATGTATTTCTTCAAAAACATTATGCAGATGCCACCCACATCTATCCTAGCTAGCAAGAGGAGAGGAGAGGTACTCAGAATGGAAGGAAGCTAGATCAAGGGAATAGCTCATCACAGAGCTGGCCAGGTGAGAGAACCTGTGAACACCTGCCAGAGCCATAGGGGCCACCTCTCATTTACTCAAGCTTTTTATTCATTCTTACGAAGACCGTATCAACTGGGAAGTGTTACCTTCATTCTACAATTGAGTAAACTGAGGTCTGAAGAGGTGCTGGAATTCTCTGAAAGTCTCAAGTCTTAAAGGCAACCCTGAATCTGTGTCTCCTGGGCTGCAATACTAACAAAACCCCTATTTTTGCCTCAACCAGGTCTCATGCACTCCAGCTTAACAACAAGGATGGGAAGGAAGGAGAGAGGAGGAAAAGCAGACAGGGAAGGGACACTGACCATTTGTGAGAACATCCCTGAGGCAGGCCCCACACCAGGTATTGAATTCATCCTCGTTAACTCAGTTAACTTCACCTAGAAGTGCTTAGAAACACTGACAAATGCTGTCCATCTGATACTGACAGAACTTATCTTTGGGGTTCACATTTCTGATCAGACATAATATTCTAATGCCTTGCCTCCTACAGCCACTCCCAGAAAATGATCTAAAGAGAAGTCAGTGTCTCAGCATCAACTTAAGAGAACATAAGCCCATGAAGGGCCAGGCTAAACGGCAATAAGCATCCTACAAGAAAACAGGAAAGTAGGCCCTGATTGCATCAGACAGATGCTCTAAGCACATTCAGAGGCTTGGTTAAATGAAGAAGGAAGCTAGGAAAGAGTACTGAAAATCACTGGACATTTCTCTGTGCTTCCCCTTCCCCCCCAAAATGAATCGTGAAAGGTTAGATCAGATTTCATCACATGTGTGGGTGTCGACTC